TATTGAATTTCCAAAAATGTCCTTTGATGTGATGGGTAAAAGTATGATTTGATGGATAGATTATTAGTAAAAAGGTATGATGTGATAGGTAGGGTATGAAAAAGTAAAGGGTAAAAGTGACTTTTTAATAGAAATGATAAGTGTTTTTTGGGACGAATGAAAAAAGAAAGGAGAAATGTTTTCAGGGACGGAGGGAGTATACATTATTATTTTTTTAATTATATATAGTTGACCGGGTTCTTGACACTGGATTGACCGATTTATAACCCTTGACCCAGTAGCTCGTTTGGGTCAACGTCTGGTCCAATTTCCAAGACATAGATTTGGGAAGGTAAGTATATATAAATTCTTTACTATAATTTTATATGTCATTTACTTATTTTGTTACAGAATATTACCTATTTCCAAGACATAGATTTAGGGGCTTTTTTGTACGTCTCGGTCCAGACCATCGGATTCTCAGGACCGGCAGCCCTTATAGACAACTAAAGTTAAAAAAAAAAAAGTTACTCCCTATTACACTAGAAAAAGCACTAATAAAACCCCATTATTATCCCACTTATGCCGGCAGTTACGTTACGCCCCTCTCCATATTCCCATTTTATATATGTATATGCATATGATATTTCCATTATATTGTAAGATTAACTCTAAGATAATCCACTTAACTTCTTGATGAGAGTTCATAATTAGTGTCATGGCAAAATCACCTGCCGGAGAGTTTAACCTGCAACAGCTTTCCCTTCCACTTCACAGTGCCATATGGCCCACAGAAAACCACATTACTGGCTGCTGGGATTATTATTATCATTATGAATATGATGATAATAATCATAATAATAATAATGATTATTGTGATTTTCCCATAACCCAAACTGGTTATGATGAGTGTTCATCTTTCCCAACTATGGATATGGTGCTCTACCATGATGATCCTGCTACTACTGCTGCTATTCCAAGTTTCAACGACGACTATCCTATTATTCAAACAAAAACCATGATGACCCAAGGTACGTTACGATTTTTTTTGACACTCCTCGATTCGTACTTCGTACTTCTCTTTCTTTTGTTAAGAATAAGCGCTGTGTCTAACTTGTTATCAAAAGGTTTTTCAAGAGGTGAAGTATATATGAATACCACACAAAAAAGGTTGCATATTTTTTATGTTTAGTTTGACCCAAAAAAGATTGGGATTGCTTTTTTTTTCTAATATATAAGACTATTGGAATTGTGAGTAATTACAAATTTGTTTCTGAGTACTTTTGGAAAACTCTGATACGTACTAACGGAGTTGGACGAGTCATAATTATATCAAAAGTTGTCATTTTATCTTTATTTTTCAGCGTGCATAATAAAACAAACTCAGATATGGAATTCTGAATGTTTCTCGGGGTTTCATGCAGATTTGGGATATCATCATGAGCTTGGAGGACTAGATGAGGAGCAAAAGTTGATGTTCTTGACTAATGAATATGGAGACAATATTAATAATTTTTATGATAATAATAATAATAATAATAATACAAACAAAATTGTTGGAAGCCAAAATAGGGCCAAGAAAGGTCATATAAATGATGGGAAAAAGGGAAGCCCTAATAATAATAATAATACTCGTAGTATATGTAATTTAAATAATAATAACATTGGTATTTGTGATACAAAAATGTTGAGTAGAGAAAGAGTGTCAAAATATTTCTACATGCCAATCACAAAGGCGGCGAAGGAACTAAAAGTTGGGCTGACGTTGCTGAAGAAGCGGTGCCGGGAGTTAGGAATCCGGCGGTGGCCTCACCGGAAGTTGATGAGTCTCCAAACCTTAATTACAAATGTTAAGGTTAGGTTCACTCCACTCTCCACGTACACTCCTTAATTAATTACTATCAAATTAATTACTGCATAATGATTGATTATTTCTCCACTAAACTTAATTAAACCCACTCATAATCATTTACTCCTTTTCTCAATGTGAAAATGTAGTGTTGAGCTTTCAAGAGAATTGAATTGTGCCAAACATAATTACTTCACCCATTTCAAAAACTGTTTATTAAGATTTATAATAGATTTTGAATGGATGTAGATATAATTTGTATTTATTCAAAATCTAAAATATGGAACACTACTTTAAATTAGATATCTTTAACCTTTGATCTGTAATTAAGTAAAATACATATTGCATATTAATTATTATCTCTCTGTTCTTGAATATTTGTCCAGTTTTGACTTTTTCGGTCAACTATTTTCAACATTTGATGTATAATTAAATAAAATATATATTGTATATCAATTAGATAAAATAATATTTTATTTAATTTGAGGTCAAAATTTATCATTTTTGGTCAAAAAAGCCAAAAGTGCACAAATACTTAGATACAAAGTGAGTAGATAAAATAATATTTTAGAAATATTTTATACAATAATTTTAATAAAATTATGTTTACATCAATATCTAATTTCACTTTTATAATATTTGAGATCAATGTTTATTTACCAATTTGATTTTAAAAAAATCAAAAGTTTACAAATATTATGAGAGAAGAAATAATTTTTAATTGACAATTATTGTGAAAAGAAAAGAGAGAAGTGAGTAACTTGTAAGTTTTAATTAAAAAAGGAGTTAGGGAAGGAAGAAGAAGACAAGAAGCTGAGAGAAGCCATAAATGTATTGGAGAAGCAAAAGAGAGAGATAGAGGAGAGTCCGGACATAGAGATGGAGGAGACCACCAAAAGGCTGAGACAAGCTTGTTTCAAAGCCAACTACAAGAGGAGGAAGCTCGTCGTGGCTCCGCCGCCGCCGGCGACGCCTTCTTCTTCCTCCGCCGCCTCCTCCGCCGCGCAGCCGCCGCCTTCATCGTATTCTTCTGCCGCCGGCCGCCCCCAAGTTGGCGGTGTTGATCACTATGAGGAAGACTGTGAAATGAACTCTCTCTTGTGTTGCTTCTCATCATCATCATCCTCTTATTCTTCTTCTACCAATTAATTATCTGCATTAATCACCACTCTACTTTTTTTTTATTCCTTTTGCATTTTGGGTTAGACAATAAGAATAATAGTACTCCGTATTGTTTATGGTGATTTTTACTTATTAGTCACTTCTATTATTCGGATAATTTACACTTCAATTAAGAATGATTTCTACACACACACACACATTTGTATTCTTCATTATTCTTAAGCAAACATGTTATTCTATTATTTTAACATGTCTAATACAATGCTTTAATATAATTATTAATCGCTTCGTCCAAATCTAATTTGTCTAATCAGATCAGATCAAACCATATTAGATGAGGTTTAATTAAATGTGATTATTATTCATATTACTATTACTATTATTATGATTATAATAATAATAATTGTTATTATTACTATTAATATTAATATTATTACTAATATTATTATTACTATATATTACTAATATTATTAATATTAATATTATTACAAGTTTCATAGATGTAATATAATTCAACCAACATATCGATACGAACGTAGATTTCAAACCTAAAGATTACCCTACGTTAGCTAGGGTTCCACATACTCACCTCAAACGAAGATCGACTAAACTACAAACGGGGTTTGGCGACGAGAGAGCGGAAACGGGCTGGACTTCTTTCCTTTTCTCCTCTTTCTCATTCTTCTTCTCTTCTCTCGTTCTCTTCTCGCTCTGTCCAGTTCCTGCTCATGATCGCACGACGAAACATGCAGCGTAAAAGGTAAGGCGTGCTAGTGTTGGAGTATTTAAACAGCCTAGGGTTTTGGGCAAACTTGCTCCAAATTTCGATCCATTTGCACTTTTGGATTCGTCTCGTCAAATCCTACACAAGGTATGATTTTTAGAATTAATTGACAAGTATCTCTAATTAGCTCCTGGTCCGTCTCATAATTAATTAATTATTTTTAATTAATTACTTTTTATGGGCCGGTTTCGAGGCGTTGCATTTCTCTCCCTCATTAAAAAAATTTCTTCCTTGAAATTACTTGAGTCATTGGTCGTTGAATAGATGAGGATACTGGGTTCGCAAGGACTCCTTAGTCTCCCAGATTACTTCTTCCAATGAGTGATTCCTCCAGAGCACCTTAACCAAGAGAACAGACTTGTTCCTTAGCTCCTTTACTTCACGCGCCAATACTAAATCTAATTTTAGTATTTCCTTTGTCTCCCAAATATTTTCTTCTTTATTACACTAGGATTAAATTTTTATTACTTTCTTTTGTGTTTTATTGCTTATTTGATAAAACGATATGAAGTTTAATGTTGTCGAACTTTATTTTATAAAATTTTTGATATACCCTGGAGTAGTTTCAAATTTTATAAATATGTTACAGAGTATTATTAATTTTTTTTATCAAATTTCATATAAATTAGATAAAAAAAATAAATTTAGTAAACAATCATAAGATTTTTTTGGTGGGACGAAAAAAGTGCGAATACATGTAAAATCACATTTTTTTTGTTTGAAAATATTTTAGTTTTGGTAAGGTATTTTTTCAAATTTTAATTTTAAAAGGTAAACCCCATCCCGTCCCTGAGGATTTCTCAAAATCAACCTGAGATTCTCCCAAAAAGAGGTAAAATTACTTTTAATCACTGATCGATGTCAAAAACTGAGCATGCAATTGGTACTTGTAGTGAATATATATACTTAACATAATTGTCTCCCAAAACATTTGCGAGGAATCAAGTTTTAATTTTTTAAACTAACGAAATAATTGGTAAATACTCCGTATATGGTAAATATAATGGATATGAACGAAAAGTAAGCGGAGAGGAGGATCCACCGAGCAGCGCCAACTCATGTAGTACGTGTCGCCTTTCCTGCAACTCCAAGCCCCAAGTGTCCTTTTCCCTCTGCTCAGCTCACTTATTTCCCCGCCAACAAATATATATTACCGTATCATCATTATTCTTTGTTCAATTTTGGGAGAAAATCAAATCCTCTCTTTCCATCAAAACCCCATAAATTTCCTTATAAATGTGTTATTGCTTTCATTGATCAACTCAATCCCAACATAGTCATCACTAAATTCATTTGGTTTTTGTTGTTCTTCTTGCGACGAAGAGAGTAATTAAATAACTGATCAGAAGGATTTGCCCGGGCCCATGCCGCGCAATTACGCTTTCGGGAGAGCGGATGAGGCGACTCACCCGGACTCCATGCGCGCCACCCTGTCGGAGTTCCTCTCCACCGCTCTCTTCGTCTTCATCGGAGAAGGCGCTGTTCTCTCCATCGGTACAATAATTAATAACGACTCCTTCCTTTGTCCTGGTTTATTTGTGCGATTTGACTGTATTTGATACAATTTTACAAAATTTGATCGGTCACACACACACACATACTCCCTCCGTTCTTAAAAACTCTTCCTCTTTCATTTTTTTTACTTCCAACAAAACACTTCCACTTTCTATTAAAAACCCACTTTTACCCTTATTTTTTCATACCCTACCTATCACATCATACTTTTTCTCTAATACTCAATCCATCACATCTTACTTTTACCCATCACATCAAGGGCAAAATTGGAAGTCAATTACAATTTAACACTTCCTTATTTTTACACAAAGTCAAAATAGGAACTTTTTTTAAAAACGGAGGGAGTATTACATTACATTACATATTAGTTTAATGAAATACGTGCACATTTTTATTCGTAAAATTGATGATTTTTAAGCCCTAATTTCTGATAAACCCTCACCCTCCATCCTGGTCTAATCCGAACCCAGCCCCAACCCTTTCAATTTCATCTCCAAAATTTTGTTTGACAGATTACAAATTTTTTTAACTTGATTGAGAAAAAAAGTGAAAATGGATGGAATCTCAATTCTTGGATGCATTATTGTTGGATTATTTTGCTAGCTATACACATTAATTAATTTTTCTTAAGTGACAACGTTTAAATAATGTTGTGACGTGCAGCGAAGCTCTACCCGGACTCTGACACGTTAGGGGCGTCAGGGCTGACGGTGTTGGCGCTGGCCCACGCGCTCGCCCTATTTGCAGCGGTCGCGGCGGCCCAGAACGTGTCTGGAGGGCACGTGAACCCGGCCGTCACTTTTGGGGCACTGGTGGGGGGCAGAGTGACCCTCCTCCGCGCCCTATACTATTGGATCGCTCAGCTCTTAGGTGCCATCGTTGCCACTCTCTTGCTCAGAATTGCCACTGATGGCATGGTATATATGTCTCTGTGAAAAAAACATGTCATTTTTTAAAAAAACAACGGTCAAGATGTGAAATTTTCTTTTTTGGTATTCAAATAATTTAATGAATTACTAATATTTTTTCATTGTTTTTGTCTATAGTTTTGATCATCAATTAAATACGGAGTAATAATTACTGAGTATATTTTATATTAAAATGAAAATGATTTAATTAAACTTATCTTGTAAAATAATTTCAAAAAATTATATAATACCACCGTCCACCTCCCGCCCGGAAAATTAAATCTTTCTTATTTTAACCTTATTTTGACCTCTTTAGTAAAAAATAGTGACATTTTTTACCACTGGATTCATCTTTAGTTTATTGTAAATATAATACAACTGGATTCATCTTAACTGCATAAAGTTGATATATAAAATTTTTATAACATTTACTTATTCAAATTATCTTTAATTTATGATTAAAGAGTAACATTTTTTAACAAAAAAAATCAAAACAGAAAATGTTTTGCATGACGGGTAGTACAAGATAACGGACCCTGAAATATCGTACACTTTTTATTTTTGTTGAGTGCAGAGGCCGAAAGGGTTCTCATTAGCACACGGAGAAGGGTGGGCGAGCGCGCTTCTGCTCGAGATAATAATGACGTTCGGGCTGATGTACACCGTTTACGCGACCGCGATCGACCCGAAGAGGGGAAGTTTGGGCACGATAGCCCCGCTCGCCATCGCGTTTATCGTGGGGGCCAACATCTTCGTTGGGGGCCCGTTCACGGGAGCGTCGATGAACCCAGCGAGGGCGTTCGGGCCCGCTTTGGTGGGGTGGAGATGGAGGCACCATTGGATCTTCTGGGTGGGCCCGTTTGTCGGCGCGGGATTGGCGGGGCTCATCTACGAGTTCGGGGTCATACACACCGCCACCGAGCCGCCACACCACCACACCCACCACCAGCCCCTGGCGACGGAGGACTACTAGTTTTAATTTTCTTGTGTGCCAAAAACCAATAAGTCTTTAAGTTCCCCATTTTGCTTTTGGTTATTAGTTTGTACAATGTTTTGGCATGCTGTTTGGCTCTGTTTGATCCTTGTGTATGTTTGTGGTGTCTATTTTGTAACTTTTGGGAATAACAAGCTAAGGGGAATAATAAATTAAATGAAATAATGAACATTTGTTAGTGTGCATTCGTGTGATTGAGGTTTTTTTATGAGGGAAGTAATAAACGAAAGTTAATCTTTAATTTAACCCTATAAAAGGTTTCTCTTTTAGTAGAAGAATTACTCCATATTATTTGTTAGAAATCTAAATATGTCGAAAATTAAGAAATGGACAATAAAAAAGTTTGGTACAAGAAAATAATTATGGGGGACATGAGCAAATTATACCATGAGAGAAGAAAAGGAAAAAAAATTCTTTCATCTTTTTGAATCTTTTCAGTTTTCACATTATTCAAGTGTAATGGCAATGACCAACATGGACCATTGTCATTACATTCATCCGTGAGAACGTGATCGCCATCATCGCGACTGCATCACCAATGTGGTCATAAGGGTCATCGACATTGTTCTTCGTTGAAGGCGGATGTTGGATTGACCAAGGTGTACAAAATCGCGTGCATAAGAATGGCTCGACGTAAGTGGTGCGCATACCCACGGGCTACTGACATCGATCAAATGGGCCTGGGTCGGCCCAACATAGTACCTACCCCATCATCTAGGCTAACAACAAATTTAAAAATCTAAATATTTTGCATTAATAGGTCAAGATACAATACGGGACCGAGTTAGAAGAAACTTGAAAAAGCTCGAAGAATTTAAAAGTCAATCTTTTCAACTCCAAAGAGTAGAGTCTAAATTAGATAAATTAGATCCAAAATATTTTTAAATTCTCCCTCCGTCCACAAATAAACTTCCCCGTTCACTATTCACAAGGTCAAATTTTATTTACTTTGTTGACCTATTTTCGTCACTCATTTGATAAAATAATATAGTCATGTTACCTCTAGTTTTGTAGATCTTTTGATATACGGAGTAGTTTTTTAATATGTAATTTTTATTTTTAAATTTTACATCATTTTTAATATAAAATGATTTGAAAATAACTTTAGCCAAACATCGTAACGTTCAACGAGAAATTCATTTGTGGACAGAGGGAGTATAATTAAAATTTGAATTGAAAAATGCTAGAGGTACACCATTTGTACACCTAAAATCAGTATCCGTAGGTTTCGTCACGCACTTGACCCTCCTACCAAGATTATGAATTTGAGGACGTAAAAAGAAAAAAAGAAAAGAAAAAAACCATTCCACCCACGCCAATACTGATCCTCATATCCTTCAACCGTTTCAGACATTTTCCCCATCTTCTTCCAAATTAAAACTGGATCTCCATTGCAGAGCCGAGTGAGGAGCTTCCAGTCAATCTACATTCATAATTTCCCTGAGGAAATGGGTTTTTAGCACACTGTCTTTGATTTCAAGGTTCACACGCCATGGCTGGACTGGAAGAGCTGAAGAAGAAGCTCGTGCCGTTGTTTGATGCTGAAAAGGGGTTCCCGTCTTCTTCAACTCTGGACCCGTCTGAATCGTACCTGGTAATTGAATCCCCTGTAAGCTAACCCTGATTGAATCGAAACATTGACCCTCCCATGAATGTTGATTCTCTGTGCAGCTTTCGGACGGAGGTGCTGTGAATTTGTTGAGCCGATCGTATGGCGTGTACAACTTCAACGAGCTTGGGCTGCAGAAGTGCCATTCGTGGCCAGTCGAGGATCCTGATTACGGGGAGAAGACATACAGGTGTGCTTCACATGAGATGAGGGTTTTCGGAGCCATAGGAAGCGGTGCAAGCAGTGTCGTTCAGAGAGCTATTCATATCCCCACTCACAGAATTATTGCTTTGAAGAAGATTAATATATTTGAGAAGGTCATTCTTTAATCTTCTTCTTGTTTTTGTTGTCAATCTTTGCTTGTGATGTGATCTGGTCTCACACTCTTACATGCTTGTCATATGTGATTATTATTATAAACAAATTGTTGCATGCACACCACACTTATTCCACAACCCGATTTTGAACTACTTACAAGTCTGGTGGGTTTCACACATGGTCGGCGAAACAGGCAAACTTGTTCGTGTAAAAATTACAGGTGCGATGTAAGGTTGGTGTAAGTGTGGTGGTACAAATGACCTTTTCCTTGTTAATTCTCCCTCTGTACCATGAAAGGTACCACATTTCTTTTTTGTTGTCCAGAAAAGAAGTTACAGTTTACTTTTAAGGAAAGAATTGTGTGATTCATATTATGTGTCTCTCATGTGCTTAAATCTCAAGCTCATCCTCACAGTTTAATCTCTCTCAATCTTCATGCCGAGTCAATTGTGGAGCCTTTTTGGACATAGGGAGTGTAAATTAATTTATATTTGAAAAATACTATCACGTGTATTGTATTAGGGAGTATATTATGTTAAAAACATTTTTCAAGCATTTCATTTCCTTTCACTTGGGTAGCCTCATTTTTTAATTTTTCTATGGTTGTGGATTGCCTCATTGACCATCTAAATTTTGCTTCTAATCATGCATGATAATTGCTGCAATGTGTATTGATACATTGCTGCAAATTATATTGCAAAATTTATATACTTCTGATAATTGTTGAAAGTTCCCAAAAATGTAATTAGAACATTGAATGATATTGTGTGTTATTATTAGCTCACATGGCAAACAGACAATTATTCATAATGCATTGTATATCTCATATAGATGACCACTTTTGCACATTAGGAGAAAAGGCAACAGCTTCTTACTGAAATAAGCACTTTGTGTGAGGCACCTTGTTATCAAGGTCTTGTTGAGTTCTATGGAGCATTTTATACTCCAGATTCTGGGCAAATAAGCATAGCTTTAGAATACATGGATGGAGGGTCTTTAGCTGATATTATAAGAATGCGTAAACGCATACCAGAGCCAATACTTTCTACTATGGTTCAGAAGCTCTTACAGGTAAGGGTGTATCTTAAGCCTTGTCTTTTCCCTTTTACTGTATAGTCCATACAGCCTGTCTACCTTTTTTTTAGGTAGGGGTAAGGTTTGTGTAGATTCACCCTCCCTTGACCCCATTTGTGGGATTTACCAGGCTGTGGTTGTTATTGTTGTTGTACTTGTATTCTATGCAGCTATGTTGATTGGTGTTTCATTATCGTTAAGGGGCTTAATTATTTGCATGGAGTTCGCCATTTGGTTCACAGAGATATAAAGCCAGCAAATTTGCTTGTCAATCTCAAGGGGGAACCAAAGATAACAGATTTCGGCATAAGTGCTGGTTTAGAGAACTCAATGGCAATGGTTAGTGGATTGACACTTCATATATCTCCTCCTAATTTGCTCTTATTTGTCACCCAAATTCAAATAGTTTCATATCTTGGGAGATGAACCCATGATCCCCTTGTCCTTTTAGGACTAGATGCCAATCTTTGAACTTTTTGTTGACAGTGTGCTACCTTTGTTGGGACTGTTACATACATGTCACCTGAAAGAATTCGAAACGAGAATTACTCTTATCCAGCTGACATTTGGAGCCTTGGACTTGCACTTTTTGAATGTGGCACAGGTGAATTCCCATATACAGCTAATGAAGGACCTGTTAATCTCATGTTGCAGGTGGTACTATAGCTTTCCTTTCCACATATTTTATTCATTGTTCCTCCATTTAAAATTGTTCACTTCTTTTTGCAAAGTTCAAACACAAACTGTGATGTTTTGATATTGCATAGTTGCATCTCCTGGCTGTATACTGATGCAATCCTTTAATCGCAGATCCTTGACGATCCTTCTCCATCACTATTGAGCCATGAATTTTCACCCGAGTTTTGCTCATTTGTTGATTCTTGCCTCCAAAAAAATCCAGATACCAGACCAACAGCAGAGGAGGTAAAAGTTGCATGCCATGTAAACTAGATATTTAGTACGATAGAAATGACGTGTCTTACCTTACTCACTGCCTATTTGTAGTTGAAAGTTTGCTTATATGGATACACTTCAACTATTTGTTAGACTAGCTTCTTTGAGCCAACATTCAACACTCTGACCTTTCACTTTCATCTAGAAATATTCTACGTAGAGAAGGCTTTTAGTTTTCCATTTTGTAGTTTATTGGATCTGTAACCCAACCAAGGCTGCCAGGGGAGAGATTAGTGTATATCTATTAGGGTCTTTTTTTTATTATAAAAAAAATCGAGTTTCATATTAGTTTTCAGTTTTGTTAGCTCTATTCAGATTAAGCACAGGCTAAGCATCTCCATTCTCCAGGTCAAAGTTGTTTCTTTAGCCTGCTGTTAGCCTGCTAGTATGTTGTGCTAGAAACATTTTTTTTGCTGACTTTTTAGTATGAATTATACGTAAAGAAGAATTCTTTATACTGTTCCTTGATCCATTACTTGCTCGCATAATTGTAGCTTCTTTTGCACCCATTCGTTACCAAGTATGTGGATACTAATGGAGTCGACTTGGGTGCATTTGTCAGAAGTATTTTTGATCCAACACAGAAGATGAAGGATCTTGCAGATGTGAGTCAATAAATTTTCTGTTGGTGGGGATTCCCATGAACACCTACGTATATGCATTCTTGCTGTCTTATTTTACTAGCCTTTTCTTAATTCACATTCATTCTATTATTATTGCCACTTTATTGATTCCCTTGGTTATCTTTGGTTCGGTTTTCTTTTTCTAGATGTTCACAATACACTACTATTTATTGGCTGACGGCTCTGATGACCTTTGGCAACATACTAGGACGCTATATAGAGAATCCTCTATTTTCAGGTAAGATGGATGCAATATGCTATATTCATGGATTTTTATCTTATGACGTATACACTCGACCTCTTGATCTATCTTCTCGTAAGAAAAAAAGGGAGAGGCGTTATAGCACTCCCCCCTTTCCACCCCCCACCACTTCCGAATTGTGTGGGAGCTTCTGCACTGGATATGGCCTTTAGATATGTGTCAGTGTGTGTGACCTTTTCCACAAAAATTAAAATAAATTAATCTTAACAAAATGCTCTCTCGTCATTTCTTTCTATCCAGAGACGCACTTTTGTCATAATTCCAATAAGATAAATCGTTCATAATCACCTCCCAAGTCTTTATGGG